GAGACCACTTCTGGAGTTCACAAAAGATGATATGTATGACGTAGGTTTTCTTTTTTCTTTTTTCTTTTGTTTAACTAAAATAGTACTTGAATGACTCTGAAACTATTGTAGTTGTCATATATCTATCTCTGTTTAAATTCTTTTCGGGAGTAAGCTACAATATTATTTTTATTAGTGTTGCAGATATGTCATGCTAGTACTCGACAATGGGTGGAGGATCCAACAAACAAGAGTCCTTTATATGCTCGTAATAGGATAAGGATGTCATTGCATAACATTTCATCACGTAAGTCATTATATTCTTACTGGTCTTCGATAAAGTTGAAGAAACGGTATACACAATGATCATAACAAATACAAGCTATAAGATCAAAATTACTTAAATGATCAATTATAATATAAGTCCCAAAAGTTTTCGCTGAAGCAGATTCTTTCTGCCCATTGCTCATTGGAACTTAGAACTCTCATGTAACTAATGCACAAGAAGTTTCCATGCAGTTGATTTATTTACCATTTCCCGCTAAGTTCTGAACACCAAATTATTCTTACCAATTAAAAGAGTCCTATCATTTTTAGTCACTATCAGTTAATGGTAGTGAGAGAAGTGAAATTCAGTGCACTACAGATGTTTTAACTGCTGTCACTCTTTTCATTGTTCAGATAATGATCGTCTTGAAATTCTGTATTTTGTAGCTATATTCAAGGCTGAGTTGCAGTCAGCTATATCAGCATGCCGAAGAACGCGAGNTACATGTTGATAGATTTTGTCTCCAGTTGTTGAATCACGTTGTGACAATCATGCCTGTATGCTTCCTCAATTCAGATGTTTTATGTTGACCTGTTTATATTCAATTTATCTGTGTCCTGCTGAAAACAAACAGTACTGAGATAATCCTTTGTCTTTTGCTTGACGTCATTCTTGATTACTTTGCTCCACCCTTACTCCAACCGAAAAATACAAATGCAGCATGGATATGCAGTGATTGATCTAGAAAATCTCCGCTCAATGGAAGTAAAAGATATTTGCCTTGCTAAGTGTGTTGCTTTGTTATTGCAGGTATTTTACCAATTTCAATTGCATTATTATCTATAACATCTCAATTACAAACATTATTCACCCTCTTTTTTCGTGATTTATATTTCCCCTCATGGCATTTACTCTTCTTTGCACCAGTTTGTTTCACAAAGACATAAGCCAGTTCGAGGGAGCGCAATGAAATTGATAATTAGTTACCTTTCTACTTTCCCCTGCAAGGTTAGTGTAGCTCTTTCATGCTACGAATGTGGGTTTCACACTGTATCTTTTTCTTTCGTGTATATTAGACAAAAAATAAAAGAAATTATTTACTATTTGTTCGTATTTTGGCAGACTTCTCTAGATGTAGCGTGTTGTTATCTCTGTCCAGCTCCAGGATCCAAAGGAACTAAGGTCGTATTATGCTGCTCTGTTGGTTCAGCTTTGCCTATAACGATGAAGTTGTGTGAAGAAGGGCAGTATTTTTCTGGTATTAGCGACTTAGACGAGATTATAACAGAGAGC